TCCTATCCCCTCTGAGCTGTCTCTTCTCCAGAGAAAACAGGCCCAGCTCACTCAGTCTCTCCTCATACATAAGGGATGTTCCATTCCCTTAATCATCCTGGTTGCCCTTCTCTGGACCCTCTCAAGAAGCTCCACGTCCCTCTTATACTGGGGAGCCCTGAACTGCCCCCAATACTCCAGGTGCGTCCTCACCAGAGCTGAGTAGAGGGGCAGAATCACCTCCCARTCTGGAATGTTATATGTATGCTATTTTTGTATAGTACAAATAAATAAAGCAAATGAATTCAGATCTTAACTGAAAATTTACAAGTTGATATYTACAATATAGCCATGAAAGTAGCAATAGATCATGCTTCATGTTGTACTTTTTCACTACATAGAAAGGTGAAACTTCTTTGAACTTGCAGAAGTGCTCTATTTGTGGAAGGATGGAAAACTAGGTGCTCCAACYACTGACTCCATACTTCAGAGAAGAGAACATATCTGCTCTCTTTCATCCATTTCATCCATTTCGATCCATTCAATATGTTTATCAATTTTAATATTGATTTGTCATTAATTTTACTATATCAAATAATTACTGCTACACATAGTTCTGAAAAATTCTGTTCAATAGTTCTGAAAAAATTCTGAGACCAGTCTAAAAATCTGTCTTTCCATCACAGAATACGTTACTCTCTAACTTGATGCTCATCAGAAAGTACTTACGGCAGAGGGGAAGAGTGAAATAATTCTTTGATATAGAGATGTCAAGCTATTTCATTTTTACATACCCCATTTAGGAAAAGACTCGTCAGCCCTCCTGACCTGAGGTGATTTGCATTAGTTGGGTGCACAGCACTGGAATATTTTCTCTGGAGAGCAGTTTGCCRGTTTCTGTGCTTGTCAGTACAGCCTCCTGGGAGCAGTAGTTTGTGYACTGCGTGCTCTTCCCTCCTCTGTCTAAGCGGACCCTCTGACTTGCTGAACAAAAGTGCTGTGATTCACGGGTGTTGGGCAACTCTCAGGAGGCTCCGTGATGATTCAATTAAAGCAGGAGATTGCAATGAGTCTTGGCRGGTTGGTCCCGGCAATGAGCAGCCCACATGGGAAGAGGAGTGAGTCTGAGRCACCTGGAGGGCATCTCTGCTGAAGTACTCTAGCTGTTTATGTAGAGATACAGATTTTTCCCTCATTGAACCACAATAGAAGTTTTTCTTCCAAATTTTTGCTGTCCTGAGCATTTGCAGGCCTTGTGGCTGATGGGAATCTGAGCAGAAAAATTCGTTGCAAAATTGCTTGTGAGTRTGAGAAAGAATATATAGTACAATAGAGTTTCGAGAGGGATATAGCTGAAAGTACAAGCGGAGCAGGTCATTCATTCCCCACTTCCCTTTCCTTTCCTCAAGTTTGGATGAGAGGTAGTGCAAGAGTTCCCTTACMCTGTTGCCTTCTTCTTACACAGTCTGGTCATCTTTTGATTCTATAAAGTGCACTGCCCCTCCTGTCTTAGAGCTAAGTCTTTAGATTGGACAGAGTCAAGATCAAGATCTCAAATTCTTTTCACAAAGAGGTGACAAGTGAGGTTTTAAATACTAATATTTTATTTCAAGTTTAGTTTGAGTTGCATATGCATCAGAGGCTTAATGAGGTTTTTTGGAATTGGAATTCACAGACTGTAACAAACAGCCAATTATTTTAAGCATATAGTTATTTAAATAAGCTTCTGTAGAAGCCTTGTATTGCTTTCATAATGTGATGACTGAAAAACAGCCAGGGAGATGCTTACGTAACTTCTTTTTCTTACATGCTCTGAGCTTTGTTTGCAGAGTGATCAGGAGGCAGCTGCATTTTGTGGCATTTTTTCTTTTCTTTTTCTCTTTTTTTCTTTTCTTTTTTTTTTTTTTTTTTTTTTTTTTTTAAAGAAAGTTTATGGCTAAAGAGATCCCAATGTACTGCCAAAACAGTCAGCAGTTAGATTTAGCCAGGTAAGCAGATAGTAAAAGAACCATGAAAACATTATTCAGAGGCAAAGCGAGGGAGCTTACGTTTCACCTCTAAGCATCAAGTCAGGTGACTCAGAAGCAAACAGTGACACATTGGGAAGGAAAATTACTGTAACAGGCAGCGGCTTGTGTTTCCCAGATTAGTTTTCTTGAGCAAAATTAGACGAGGATTTTATTTCATTACCCTAATTAAACTATTCTCTGTGTTCCATTGTTTTAGGTCATTGTTGATGAATGGTGGCAAAGTGCTTCAGTACTGTTTCCCAAATATAATTAAATGAGGACATAATGTTTTGCAGTGAAAGAGATTATATATTTGCTGATTTTAAAACAGACAAAATAGAAATATATACTGGAAGTTCAGCTGTGCACGTACATATGTTAGATTAGATGTTTTCAAATCTTTGTTTGGAGTATTTTTTAAATCTGCATATTATTTTATTGAGTTATTATGTTCAAGAGGACTGAAAAACACATTTTTTTTTCTTTTATGAAAAGTAAGACAAAACAAATACAATTTTTTAGTCTTAATAATTACATAGCCTCCTAGGTCTCCTGTAACTAATTAGGAGTCAGGTGTTGTGTTATGGCTTGTTTCAAAACATCCCCACTTGTTTATACAGTCATATTGTACAGCGAATAAGCAAATCAGTTCTCAGCTAGGATGTGTGGAGTGTTAGGTGTTAGCTGCCTTCAGGAGGGTATTTGCTGCTAACATGGAAGCRTATGCTGAGCTGGAAGGGAAGGGGAAGGTGCAGTTTTGCAAAGTCGCTATCCTGCTTTTCCCTTTGCTAATCAGAGGGGGAGAATTCCCCCAGGGCTATAGTCTGAGTTAGGTCATTTTAGAGTGAGTCTGTGAAGCAAGTTTAGGAAAAAAAATGTTAATGTCAGTTAACATTTTATTCCATATGTTCTCAAAACCTGGTGAGAGCACCAGGAATGCAGCACCTGGCATGTTTGCACTCCTGCACAGTCCCAAGAGAGAGGCAGTGGCGTCATTACTCCCTGTATCACTGTGTTCCAGATCGGGGTCCTGCAATTATAGTATTCCTTGTTATAATGTAAACATACCTTTATCTTGTTGCCTTAATATGAATAGTCTTCTAAGCTCTGTCCCAGTGTAACGTACATTATCACTTACCTTATAGCTACAGCAATATTCCTGTAAGATTTCCCTGTATGTATGGAACTCATCATCAAATTTACATTTGTTTCTGTATAAGATTCATGGAAAGATATTCACTTGAATCTGAGTGGACTTCTTTTTCATTTAGGAGCTCATTAAGGTAGGTTCCAAGTTGAATTCAGGTGTTGAAACAGGTCTCCACATACCATACAGATAATAAATCTAAGGCCAGATTTCATTTCATAGATAACAGTTTGTTTGTTTGACAATTTCTTCAGTACATTGCTTAAACCTTTTCTATTTAAATAATTAAATTCCGTGGCAGACAAAAGTCATGCACAAACTCAGTATTTGACTGATGATTACAGGGAGCGTTAGTTCCCCTCTTCAGAATTACATTTGTGCAKCCTTCAGTGGCAAACAGTAGATTCAGTCTTCCACATATTGCTCTGAGCTGTACTAACAATATCTGCTCTTTGTGTGTACTTTTGTGTTGGACTGTGCCATTGGTTCTGGTTCCTTGGGTTGTTAATGTATACTCTGTGTGGAAGCATATGACAGTATGTACATGGAAATACAAATCTCCAAACATTCTCTGTACAAACTATTTTCTCCATGGAAAGTGGAATTAATTGATTTTTGTTTTATTTTTGATATAAACTTTTGATCTCTRCTCTTACGTGTAGCATTCAGGGTCCCACCTGTCTCTTTTCTGCCTCTGTATAGCACCTCTCCCTGGGCAGAATTAATTTGCAGATATAGCTTTTTAATGCCATATGTGTGATGATCTCAGTGATGTGGCTTCTGCAAAAAGGAAAAAAAAAGAAAAAGAAAAAGAGGATTGACAAAATTTTGTCAGATGTTCACTTTTTTTCCAGTGCCATTTAGCTATTAACTTAATGTGGAACAGAGGGAAGATAGAACATGTTTGAAGACTTGTCTAATAAAATAAAGGGCAGAGGCTTGCAAAAACTTATTTTTTTAATGGAGGATGTTGGTGCCTGAAGGAATGAAAAGTGATGGTAGTAATTCATTCTATCAAATTGTGTTTTATACTGCAAGAAGCCAGATATTTGGAGAAAGGTGGAAGTTGCCTCATGAGTATATTTTGGTCATGACATGTGCAAAAATAAAAACTGGCCTTGTCTGCTGTTGCGACCAACTTTATTGCATTCTACAGAACAGCTTGTTCATAGTTCACATCAAGCTGAAGAAGACTTCGCTCCAGGTTTGAATATCAAAAGGTACAGAACAATCTAGCCTGCAAAACTGAGATGGGAAAAGAAATAGCTAATACATGTGAAAATATCAACAAACATAATAAAAAGGTTTTAGACATACTCATTCCTTTGCTAATAACCCCCCACCGTGTTTCTAGCTGTACTGTCTCTAGGAATGCCAGATTGCACACCAGGTTGTAGTTTTTTCCTCTTCTCAAAACAGCAGAAGCAATTTTTGCTTTGGACTTAAAAACTCTTCAGCAGCCATTTTGAGAGCTGTATCAGTCACATAGAAGACAGCATGAATCTGTATTGCTTTTATATTTGGCACAATACCAATAAAATAATCAAATGTGAAGTTTTATATTTGGCACTATTTTTTTAACTACCACAARATGAAACCCCACTGATCTGCCTCAATATTTATTTCTCAAGAGCATAAACACTRGAGCATAACAATTGCTTTATAGTTGACGATGAATTAAATATTTCCGTTTTTTTATACTGTTGAGTAAAAATAGAAATTATTAATAAATAAATAAATAAAAACTTGCTCCTTCATTCCAAGATTGATCTAGAAGTTCTTAGAGATTTTTTTTTAGGAAATAATTCTGGATTTCTTACTTTTTTCTTTTCCTCTCCCCTTTTTTTGTTTCTGTGTTCAGATGGAAGACGTCATAGCCCGCATGCAAGATGAGAAAAATGGAATTCCTATTCGTACAGTCAAAAGTTTTCTTTCCAAGATCCCCAGTGTCTTTTCTGGTAAGAGTCAAAATAAGTTTCTTACTGTCTTGAGCTCCTTCTCTATTAAGTGATGTTCAAAGATGCTTAACAGTGCTATGAAGAATTGAAAGTCATCTGATCTGGAGGAATCAATGACCATCCTTTGAATACTTTAAAATTACAATTTTAAAAATACATATTATAGTAATATAATAATATTATGATAGTATATATCTATAATAGTGTGTATATATATATATATATATATTTCATACTACTGATTCCAAAACAGTAAGCAAAAGATTAGTTGAGATATCATTGAGTTTTTAATACAGACTTACTGACCATATCCTTTCAAGGTTTGAAGACATTAGCAAGATTAGCGTGGGGAATAGTATCTGGGTCTGACCTTTTAATAGAATGCCTAGTAAATATAGTGGTATGATTATATTATCTCATTTACTGAGTCATTCCTTAAAAGTTTTTACAATAAAATATCTGTGCAAAGAAACATTTCAGCTACAGATAATTCTTTATAGGCTGTACACATTGCTGCACTTTAGAATAAAAAAAAGAAATGGTAAGAGAAATATTATTTCACCTTGTGAAGTTCTGAGAAATATGTGCATTTCATAGTTTTAAACTTTATGTGCTCATAGAGAGCAAATGCGTTGATTATTCTTGACACTTGTCACATTTGTTTTTAAGTGARAACAAGTTCCTTGAATTCAAACTCACCATTTTTGTTTGATTACATTCTAAAAACTGTTAAAATCGTAAAAATAGAACGCTTGTTTTAGACTGATTAAAATATACTTAAAATGAGTTTGCAAACTATTTGATTAAAAATGTACAAAACCACAGATATGTGCTAGTTCCTGTTCATGTTTGTGTCAACATTTATGAGTGTATCAGATTTACTACAAGCAGCAATTTTTTCTGTGGTGTGAACTCACTGGAGTTGGTGATTTGCAGACCCATTTGGACAGCAGCGTGCAAGTCACCTGAGTTGAGGAAGTGAAATGGTTTATGAAAAAAACTGACACATGAACTGAGCTCCCATATGCTTTACGCCCATAGGCCTCTGGAAAGAAGGGAGTAAAAGCAATGCTGATACCTTAACTGGGTACTGTACTTTATTCTTTAATACAGGAAGATTTTTTTCAGGTTTTTACTAGTATTATGATGTTAATGACACTCGTGTGAGTTTTTCTGCCAGATAAAATAACTTCAAATAACAGTTGTTAACAGCTTAGTGTGTTACAAAGAAYAGAAACATTAACAGAAATGATGGGACAAATTATACATATTAGTAAAAAAACATAGAATAGGGGAGAACACATTATTTGCTAGCTTGAAATCGGATTCAGAATGGAAGAATTGTTGAAGTGTGTCCTTGGGCTTGGATTACTTGCCCTGCTTGGACTGTTCTGGCCTTTGCCTGCGCTGCCTGCAAACCTGCTGGGCTGGTCAGCAAACGTCTGTGGTGCATTTTACTAGTGATATGGCAAATGAAAATAAACCTCGCACACTGCAGAATGCTTCTGCACTCTAACTTACTGGGTCTGATGAGCTAATGCTTTCATTACACTCAAAGCTTATTTTACACCAAGATCTTTATGATTCACTGTTGCAGAACAGATATTCCACAGTCTCCCTGCCAGCTATTTTTTCTTAATTTGAGTCCAAGCAGCTACTACAAGTGCCTTGTACTTTTTTGTAATAATTGCCTACTGACTCATCCTGACACCAGCAGGTCGCCTTCTGGGGCCGTTGTCACAATGTGCTGCATGCCTGTAGCACTTCAGGCAAATGTTTTTTTGTAAGGGCCACTGGCCTGTACGGAGCTTTGCTGAATCACCTCATCCAGCCAGTGCTCAGGAGGATAAGCACATTTAAGTCTTGGAGTGGGGAGAAACTGTGCTGCAGCAGATGGTCTTTGAAGGAATGGTTCACCTCCAGCTGAGTCACATGCAGCCTTGCTTGCAGCTAGGCTTAGAATAGGTGCAACAATTAGATGAATATGCATGAGTGAGTGTCTTTGTAGAAAACAGGTTAATATACTTATGCAGCCTTGAACACTACTGGCTGAAAATAAATTTGCTAGATGATGTTTTAAATCCTAACCGGTCACCCATCTTCAGGCTCATCTTCCAATGCAATCTGTGTAATGAGTGYTGCCCAGGGAACAGATGCTGCCTTCCAGTTATATAGCAATAGTCCATCAAGGGAAGTTCTTCTCTGGGATTTCTTTGTGCAGCATTTGTTATTTCTGGGCCATTTAACTTCTTTAGTAGGTACTGGGTCTTTTGATCATCTTTATTTTCTTTAAAAAAAAAAAAAAAGAAAGCAAACAGAGACTATGGTGAGAATTGAAGTCGGACTTCAAAAAAACAAAGAAAGGAAAAAGAAGGCTCAAGAATGAAACAAGAATTCACATGAAATCATACTGGAGAGAGGTTGCATTCAGCAAATGCAACCAGAGAGTTTGCTCTTTCTATGTGGCTGTGGATTTTAATTAACAAAAAAAAACAGTTTCCATTTTTTGTCTTCATAATTTTAAAATATTTTGGAGGAGTGGAAAAGCCTTTTTGTAGACATCATGCCAGTCAACAATAATAATTGCATGAAGATTGTCATGTGCATTCTTTACTATTAGAAATAAAAGGAAGGCAATTTGCCCGGGACATGGTTCACCATTAAGCCTGTAAATAGATTTAAAAAATTGGTTTGAAATGATGAATTTGTGGAGTCTGACATATGAATCATAGGGATTAGAAGAAGCTCTAAAATATCRTCTTCACTTTTGCTATGGAAAGACAGTGGAGTTTTGCTGTTCACTTCATTCTAAAGCAGAAAGATGCATTTGGAGTTTACAGATAAGGCACTGTAATAATTGAGAGGTTTTTGTGTGTGTGCATTTTTGAGGATGGATGAGTTTTCTTTTTGGTTATTATTAGTACTGAAAGCTTCCTTAGCTAATCAGAACACGGATATTTGATTAAGACAGAGATACAGACATAGTGGTGCTGTGTGGTCATCATAGAATACAAGCCTGACTGGTATTGGAGTATAAGTCTTCAAAATGTATAGTACTTGGCTATATTTGATGATGGAGAAAAACAAATAAAATCTGTGAAGCATGTGCCACTTGAATGGACTGTAAGCATGTGGAGGGACAGTGGTTTTTTTTTCCTTTTATTAAAGAAAACGAGGTAAGACTTAATATTTGGATATGCTGCTTTGCTATCATGCCTAGAAATCCCAGAAAGTTTAAGGGAAGCTTGCAGGGAGATGGCATTAGATCCCTAATGAAGAAGATGCTTAATGTGTAACAGCACATCCTCTGAAATGAAAAGGAGCTCCAACAATGATAGGAGGAGATGGGTAGAAGGATGACGTGTAACACAGAAGGAAGATGAAAGGATTCAATTACCTCTTCCAGGAAGACAAACATGTGAGGTCTTTAGTTCTGTCTCACTTCCAGACTTAAGGTTGACATAGTGCCTTTGCTGTATCAACAAATATGTTGACTTACACCTTCATAGAAAATTTATTCTGACCTCATGAATTGGATCCTGTTTTTATTTGTACTTTTTCTCCTAATCTCAGAACATACTTGAGAAATCTTTAAAATAATGAGTTGTTGCATTTTGAATAGTGAATGTGCTCATGTCATTGTTAATTACCAATCTTTATTTAAGCACTGCTGTTATTCTTGGGGGAAGAAAAATATCATGTGACAAAAAAAAAGAATATTTGTGTTTAAACACCAAGGGCAGGAGTCTCAGCACATGGTTCAGAGATCTTGAGAGACCCCAGAGGAAAGCACTSTCATGGTAACTGGTCTCACCCACAAATTATAGGTGGGTGAGCCCAAGGTACGGATCACAGAAGCTGCCTGCAACAACAGTATTGCTATATAGAGACAGGCAGCAAAAAAATAAAGAGCAGTGGGAACTGAATGACTCAGGAGACTAGTAAGAAAAAAATGTTTAATCTGTCATTAGTTTTATTCTTGCCCAATTGAGTAATGATGGAAAGTTGTTAGCATCTGATTTGGTGCTGCATGTGAAATAAGTTGATAGGTTTATCCACTTCTGTATTGGAGATTACCTACCTCAGAAGAAAAAATAAAAGAAAGAAATGTACTTGGATTGACAGAAAAGATCCAAAGTGTAACACCTCAATCTTCTAGTACCTTTGAGGTAAATTAATATTATATTATATGTAAGCATAAGGATTTTGGAATGTCCTTATTCATACCATTTCCAGGATAAATTAATCATGTAGGGGAAGACAGGATCTTCATTTCTAAAGCTCCTGATTTTGTGGGCTATTTCTTTTTTTTTTAATTCGATGTCTCCAGTGCTTTTCAATGACAGGATCCTAAATTTTTGTTTGTTACATTCCTTCATTCCTTTTTCTTTGTTCTTCATTTGTCTACAAGTATAATGATAGAATCTTTGCTGGATTAACTAAACCGAATCAGCCTCATGTAAGTCTACAGAGTTTCATTATTTGCAGGCAAATACTTCAGTGCTGCAACTGTGCAAGCTCCTTGCCTTGATTAGCTACCAATGTAAAGGTTTTGAAGAAATGATTTATGTCAGCACAGTAGTGACAGAAGCTGGCACGTGTCTTCTGCTCTGCAGGTTCAGAGGGGGAGATATGGCCAAGAAGTTACCAATTTTTAGTTTTGCTTTTCAAAGCAGAGCATTCGAGAATAATAAGTTAATAATCCGATATCCCGAACTAATAGATGGCTTGAGAATAAGGAATGTGCAATCATTCTGAAGTAGTGAGATAACTAATCAGTGAGTGTTGTTTTGTATGTTCTGCTATATAAGCTACCAAAATGAGTATTCCGGTGATCTCTGTATGCCTTCACTTCACAAWTCTTGTTTCTGTTTGTTTGTCTGTCTGCCTTGATCTTGTAACTGAGTTTGTGAATGTGGCCAGAGAAAGGTGTTCTGAAGCTGCTGAAAACTTGACAACTTTTTTTTAACTTACTTTATTTTGTTGAAATCAACTTAATG